TTCATTTTACATTAGAAAGTTGTTTAAAGCCAAAAACATCAGAGACAGCCTTGACGTTGTAGATTACAAAACTTTGCCGTCCAATTTAGTGTCATCATTTGAGGGCACGCTATCATAGTGCTGGAACTTCGGGTCGGCGGGTCGCCCGAAGCCCGAATTTTTTCGGGCTTAGGCGGCCCGGTCCAATTCCCGCCCGCCCAAGCAAGAAATTCGGGTTCGGGTTCGGGCATCCCGAATTTGACATGTCTACCCTTGCCCGCGCGCCGTCTAACCACCGTATACCGCCGTCTGGCGGGATTTTTTTGAATTTTTCCGACCAAGCCCGAACTGCCCGACCCGAAAATTGGGTGTGCCCGAATTGCCCGACCCGAAGCCCGAATTTTTGATTTTTTTTTGAATTTTGCCCGAATTTTTCCCGCCGGCCCGAATTGCCCGACCCGCCCGAGGTGCCCGAATACCCGAAAATGGCTAGTTTTTTGAATTTTGCCCGAATTTTTCCCGCCGGCCCGAATTGCCCGACCCGCCCGAGGTGCCCGAATACCCGAAAATGGCTAGTTTTTTGAATTTTGCCCGAAAACCCGAGTTGCCCGAAAACGGCTATTTTTTGAATTTTTACCCGAATTCTACCCGAAAACCCGAGTTCGTGTGTTCATTTCAAATTGTAATATATATATAAATATAATATATATATATATATAAATTGTAATACTAATATATATATAAATAACTTAATATTAAAAAAAAGTTTAAAAAATTCGGGCAATTCGGGCGGGCTCGGGCCGCCGAATACAAGCCCGTGGCCCGTTCAATGTGAAATTCGGGCTCGGGCGGGCGGCCCGAAAATCTCGAGCGGGTCGGGTTCGGGCTCGAAAAAATCCTCGGGCTTTTCGGGCGGTTGCAGGCGGCCCGTCCAAAGTTCAAGCACTACGCTATCATATACTAAAGGGAAAAAAAAATCCTATATCACCTGTTTCTTTTCATCAATTGATACCCCGAAAAATTAGGTAAATGTCTGTTTTGTGTGGCCACTTTTTTTTTTCCATAAATGACTAAATGATGCAGTGGAATGAATAGAACGGAATTTTACCGGCCTAACTCGAATGGAGAATTTTTGAATCCACTTAAAAGAAACCCTACAGGGAGAAAACCCTAAATGGGAGAAGAAACTCAACTTTAATTCAATTATCAAAATATTCAAAGTCGTTTCTAATACAATAGCTAAGTGGCTATTTATAGCTCACCTAAAATACGATAACAAAATAATAACTAAGATAAACGATATAATAATAACAAACCAAAGCGAAATTAGAAAGTTAAAACAAACGACAATAAAATATAAAAAATAACTACTAATACTCAAATCTTCTTATATCACTAAAATTTTTAAATTTTATCCAAATAACCTAACTTTTTATTTTTTTAAGGATAATTATTATTTTTTACAATAATTAATTATTGATAAACTATGGTTAATCAGTGACAGCTCAAGGGCTAGGTAAATTCGGCACTTGCGAAAGGCCTCTGAGCCATTCAAGGCCCCATTTTTTCCATATTACTAATGTACTAGCTATGTACGTATACGTTCATAAAGTGCACTCATGGGACAATAATAGCGCCCGCTCAATCTAGAAATCTCTTCAATGAATGAGTATATTACTTCCAGATTCCCAACCATAAGAGCCTAAAGAATATTTATTAACAAAAATGCAAACTTTTAAGGTCGTGTTTGGAATTGATCCTGTTTTTATTTTTTTACGTTTTTCGAGAAAAAAATGAAAACGTTTTCAAAACGTGGTTTGGCGCAATAAAGACAAAAAACAGAAATGAAAACGATTTTTTAATTTAGTGTAAAATGAGAGAGAAACGAAAAATGACTTTTATGATTGTTTATTTTTTGTTTTTTGTTTTTATTTTCTCCTCTCTCTCGAGCAGAAAGAGAGAAAGAGAGACATTAATAGGTTTTTTTTACACTGAAAATAATCTCTTGATAAAACTACCAAATGCATTTTTAAAAATGATTTCTGTCTGAGATTGAAAACGTTTTCATTTTTATTTTCATACAAAAAAATAAAATTATTTTGAAACGACTTCTAAACGCGCCCTGAATTTTCACAAACAAATTATCCTCATACTTTCAGGTTATATATATATATATAAATATATATCCGTACAACTTCACATGATACCTATAAATACATATGGGTCCGTTTAGTTCGCTAATTCGAGTTAAAATGTGACTTTATATGAGAATTTTTTGTTGTAGTAGAAAAATTAGATGTGATTATTTCTTAGAGCTTTTTACTGTAGCAAAACTCAAATTTTAAACTCGAATCGATGAAATAATATATATGAATATATTTTATATATGTATTTCTAACACTAGCAAAAATTAGAAATGCAGATTCATTAAATGAATGTTTTCGTTTTCTAATAAGACATTTTATTTGGTGATAAATAGTATACTTTAAATAAAATGCTTATTGTTATTTCTAATTTCCGTAACTTTTTCATTTTTATCTTCAAAACAGTTTTTCAGAAAAAAAAAACAAAAAGAAAAAAGTTGCTCGCATATTTTTGAAATATGAAAAACAACAATACTTCATAAGCAATACATCTTATTGTACATAGACATATTTTTGTCAAAAAAATATTACTTAAATATGTAATTAATTATTGATATGCTTAATACAAAAGTTGAGCCGGCCTTGATAAATGATAAATCATGATTACTCAGTTATAAGCCAAATTAATAAAAATCATTATTTTTCTAATTTTATAAAACTTTGATCATTTACTTAAAAAAAAAAATTTAAGAAAAGGACCATTTACGCCCCAAATCCCTCCCTCCCATAATAATATCATTTAGCTCTGCTTCTAAATTGTTTTTTGTCAGCATTGTTCATCTTGGGTCCACGCTTTGCCCAGATGGTTTTCAGATTGTTTGCTTTAATCTTTCTTTGTGTCAATGAAAGTGTTTTTGTCCTAAAAAAGAAAATTCTCACAATCAATTTTAGACCTTATTTATTGAAGGGGAAAAAAAGAGCAAAGAGTTGGACAGTTGGATACATTCAAAGGAGGAAAAAAAATAAAAAGTACAGAACCGTGTGCTAAAAAGGTGAATATATCTTAAAAAATATGACTTAAAAAAGTGCCATCTATTACAATTTCTCCTTGAGGAACATAGATTAATTATAAAAATCATTATTTTTTCATAAATACCCTTTCTATTTTGAAAATTAAAATTCAATAACATGTATTTTGATTTTCTTTGCAAATTTACTCTCTCAATAGCAAAACTTGGAAAGAATATATTGAAATGTCCACGGGCGAAGGTAGCTAATAGCCACTCAAATTTTTAATTTTTGAAAATCTTATATAACTAAATATATATTGCATTATATTAATGAAACTTTAGGATTTGGAGTCACCCTTTTAATCTACGAACTCGTTCATTTCACAAATTTGAGTTTTTAATTCTAATTTTATTACAGTTAAAAGCTTTCACAAAAAGTCACATCTAACTTTTTCTGTTACAGTAAAAAACTTTAACATAAAATCACATTTCAACTCGAATTGAAAATTTAAATCTACAAACTAAATGAGGCCTGCTTGAAGATTTATACTCAATTGCCTCATAGTAGACTTCCCCATAACCACTTTTCTAACGCTTCAAAGCTCCTCAACTCCTTAAACTTCTAATTTTAACAATTTATTCCCCCTAACCCCAATTTGAAAAACTATTATGATGTGGCTTATTTGGACGATGATTGTGTTAAATTAGGGTCTGTTTAGTTCGCTGATTCGAGTTGAGATGTGACTTTATGTGAGAGCTTTTTATTGTAGTAAAAAAGTTAGATGTGATTATTTCTGAGAGTTTTTTACTGTAACAAAATTCGAATTCTAAACTCGAATCGGTGAAATGAATGAGACCTTAGTGACGAAAAAGTATGTTTGATGAAAAATTTTAATATCTCAATTCATTCCTAATTTATTATTCAAATGGTGAGTTTACTAAATTTTTTTTTTTAAAAAAGCCCATTGAATTGTATATCCAGTTCTTTTTGTTATTATTATTATTTTTTTTTTTGGTAAAAGAAACGACACTATTAATGGTAATAGTGTGGCCAGATAGCTTTTCCCAATTTTTTTTTCTTTTTTTTTCCCTCCCTTATAAAATTTATTTCTGTTAATGGTATTTCAGTTGAGCTGTCAGAGAGTATTAACCAAAAAAAAAAAAAAATTGAGCTGTCCGATAGAAACCATCAAACCAATCTAATCTAACATGTAAAAAAGACACTATTAACAATTGTAACAAACAAGGCCATAACTTTCTCATTTATCGGATTTGCGTAATCCACATTATCATATAGAATCAGAAGAACGAGTCCAATATCAAACAATAAATAAAATATAAAGATATTAATTGGTAAGATTAGTTTTTAATATTAAATTTGATTAAAATTATATTAAATTAAAAAAATTACGTAAAATAAACAGTTTTAATATAAATCTGAAGTAATATTTTTTTCTAAGTGCCTAACACAAAAATCTCTAATCTCTAATAAAATAAAAATATTCAATAACCTTAAAAATACACGTGCAGAATAAGAATGTAAATGGCTAGGTATTAAATAAGCACTTTTTTGGCTGATTCATTAATAAATAAGCACTTTATTAAGGATGTTTCACGTACTTCCAACGTAAGAAACATCTTTAAGAGAAAAAAATAATAATGTCCCCCCAAACACTGCCTTTTTGGTGTAACAGCAGAAACCGATTCTTCTCCTAGATTTTCCCCTGGACTCGGGACCATCTCCACATTTTCCACCCCAAAAACCCCATCAACTCAGAACAAAGCCCATTTCCCATTCTCTGACTTTTTCGTCATTTTACTCCTTTTTGTCGTTTTCTATTCCTTTTTCATTTTGTCGCTGTACTTAAAGAAGAAGAAGAAGAAGAAGAAGAAGAAGAAACACAACTGTATTGATTTTAGTGTTGCAATGGCGTGCATGAAACTGGGGTCAAAACCAGAAGTCTTTCACCTCGATGGCCAATCCTGGTTTGTTGTTCATCGCCATAATTTCTTCATTTGTTCTGTTTCTGGACTGGTTTTGAATAATGGGGTTGTGATAATTGTGAAATTTGCGTAATGGGATTGTTTTAATTTGTATTTTTGAGATTGTTACCATCTGGGTTTTGTTTTGGAAGACATACAAATTAGTGAATTGTTTTTGTATTCCTTCTTTTATATGAATGTAGATATATATGATTCGTTTTGTGATTTCGATGTTGAATTTTTTATTTTATGATCACTGTCACGTGTCATCTGGTAGTATTGAACTTACTTCGAAGAATTCGAGGTCGAAGACACTGAGTACTTTAGTAAAACCTCATGTGACTGATCAAATAAGAGTTTTTTTTTTTTTTTTTTTTGGAACTACATTTATGTGTTCATCATATTAGTTAGAATCTTTTTTTTTAGTTGAGACGTTTCATCATCACTTTACATGCCCTTTTGCAGGTTTTGCTCGACTGGACTTCCTAGTGATGTCATTGTTGAAGTTGGAGAAATATCCTTCCATCTTCACAAGGTCAATTTTGTTTGAACAACTTTTTAACTGTGAATTTTTGTTTTGAATGATTTTGAAATTTGATATAAACAACTAGTCTTTGTTTGGTTCTGAAGAAGTTTTGATCATGTATTTATGGCTTGGTCTCCCTTGCCTCATGTTGCGGCAGAAAGAGGGAAATAGTCTTTTTACTTTCACCTTGCATATCTTAAAATTATAATACAAATTATTTTCATGACTATCCGTATGTGTTTTATGATTTCCTCTCCCTCTTATCTACTAATTATTAATGGTCCTTTTCACTTTTTCTTGGTATTCTATCAGTTTCCATTGCTATCCAGAAGTGGTTTGTTAGAAAACCTTATTGCAGAATCTTCTGTCAAGGAAGAGAATAAATGTATTTTGCAACTTCATGACCTGCCTGGTGGAGCCAAAGTCTTTTTGGTTATAGCCAAGTTCTGTTACGGTGTGAAAATCGAACTCAATGCGTCAAACATAGTTAGCGTCAGATGTGCAGCGGAATATCTTCAGATGAGTGAAGACTATGGAGAGGGAAATCTTATCATACAAACGGAGACTTTTCTGAATGAGATCTTCGGAAATTGGACAGACTCTCTTAAAGTGCTCGAAACCTGTGAAGAAGTTTTTTCATATGCAGAAGACCTTCATGTTGTCTCGAGATGTCTCAACTCGTTGGCTATGAAAGCTTGTGCTGATCCAAGTCTGTTCAGTTGGCCTGTGTCGGGAGGGCGCAGCGCGGTGCAGAGCCCAGAAGGCGGTGTGTTTTGGAATGGAATAGGTACTACAGCAAAACCGCAATCAGTTGGTGACGATTGGTGGTATGAAGATGTGTCACTCCTCTCATTACCTCTATACAAACGTCTAATTCTAGTTCTTGAATCAAGAGGCTTGAAACCGGAGAAGATTTCTGGTTCCCTAATCCACTACACAAAGAAGCATCTTTACTTGTTAGGTAGAGAATCAAGCTTTGAGAACGGAGATCGTGCTACCCTTGGATCAACTATGTCTTCCCCACCTAATAAAGAGCAAAGGAATCTCCTTGAACAGATTGTGGAACTACTACCTGATCGAAAGGGTGTAACCCCGACCAATTTCCTGCTTAGGCTCTTAAGAACCTCTATATTTTTGCATGCTGGCCATACATGCCGAGAAAATTTGGAAAAACGAGTTGGGGCTCAGTTGGATCAAGCAGTCCTTGAAGATCTTCTCATACCAAGCATGGGGTACTCGATGGAGACTCTTTACGATGTTGATTGTGTTCAGCGGATTCTTGATCACTTCATGATAGTGGATCGTGACATGAGCGACTGCACTTTGACTTCTGTGGTGGATGAGGGGCAGCTCATTGGAGGCTCCCATTCACTTACCCCAATCACCATGGTGGCTAATCTGATGGATGGATTTCTTGCTGAGGTGGCACCCGATCCTAACCTGAAGTTACCCAAATTTCAGTCACTGGCTGCTGTTATTCCTGAATTTGCCAGGCCATTAGATGATGGAATGTACCGGGCCATTGATGTCTACCTCAAGGTAAAATGGGCAGCAAAAGTTGCTTTCTAAATGATTTTTTTCATATAAAAACTTGTTATGACCTGAAATGAATTTCATTTTTGTGTGATAACAAGTTAGAGTGAAATACTGTTTTATAGTGAAAGAACACCATCATTCTTCCTTAGAATATGCCAATCACCAAACTACTTAAACTTTGTGATGACTACTTTGGTCTGTGTATAAGTAATTTGAAATGTTTAATATTCTATAAAACTTACTAATCTCAGAAGACTGTCTAGATCTGGAAATGCCATGATAAGGAAAATCTGCAATGCATTGAAGTTAGACTTTTTAATGAATTTGATTTTAGGTGTCATGAAAATAAATGTATTTGATTTTTTGCTCATTTTCATAAACAAAATATCTTCTGATTAATTGAAGGATTGTATTCTAAGTTGTAATCACCAGAAGAAACTACTGATTATTTTCTGCTCTTAAGAAAATTGTAACTATTTCTCCTTTCTACCCTTTAAAATGACTATGACATTTCTTGATTTTAGGCCCATCCCTGGCTAACAGACTCCGAGAGGGAACAAATCTGCAGGCTCATGAACTGCCAGAAGCTCTCATTGGAAGCCAGCACACACGCAGCCCAGAATGAAAGGCTACCACTCCGCGTCATTGTCCAAGTTCTATTCTTTGAACAGCTCAGGCTACGAACCTCAGTTGCCGGTTGGTTCTTTGTCTCTGACAACCTCGAGAACTTACAAAACCACAGCGGGAATCTTGCACTCACCAGAACTGAATTATCCCACCAGGCTGGCACCAGGCAGAATCAGGTTGTGGCAGTGGATAACGTGAGGGAGAGGGTGTCTGAGCTCGAGAAAGAGGGTTTGAGCATGAAAGAAGAGCTTGAAAAAATGGTCAAGACAAAAGGAAGTTGGAATATGATCTTCAGAAGGTTTGGCTTTAGACCAAAGTCAAAGTCTTGTGATGCAAAAGTAACCAAGAACTGTAACAATGGCAAAGAACAGCCCTCAGCAGCACCAGCACCAGCACCGGTCGTGAATGGAAGTAAAAACCCGAAGAATGGTGAAGTGGAAGCTTAAGTTTTGAACTTGAAAGATTGAAATGAGCTCTTTTTATTCGTTTGTTTGTTTATTTATATTTTCTACTTCATTAGCTTAGCTTTTTGAAGTAAGTTATTTTTTGTCTATTTGTTTTGGACTCGTCAATAAGGTAGCTTTTGATAGCATTTAGATATAGGTTGAAAACTTCTTCCACATCTAAGTTTGATCTTGTATTTAGAGCTGCCAAGTTCTTTTATTTCTCATGCAAATTCTAGCTGCTTTGTTTGTGTGTAATTAAGTATTGGCTATTTTAGTTTTTTTTTTTTTTTGGGTCCATGCAAGAATTATGTCAACATCTTTTTAGGGCCGTAAGAATTTAAGCTGAACCCGATTAACCCGTTCGACCCAACCCGAACCTACTCGAATTTGTGTGTGTGTGTGTGTTCTTTTTTTTTTTTGGATTCAAATAAGTGCAACCCGCACATTGCAGGTTGGGTCGCGGGGCGGGCTTCCTTTGGCCCGATACTCCCCGACCCCGCCGGATGAGATCAAAGGAGCACCCCTATATCTTTTAGACCTATGATAAAGTTTAGATTTGATAACTTTCTCTTTTTTACTTTGTGTTTCTCTTCCTGTGGTAAGCTGTGGAGTACGATTTAAACAAACCAAGAACCAAGAACAAATCAGGGAAGAATTTTATTATAACCAGAGGAAAAAACAATGTGGTTCAAGGATTTATAATAAGTCCATTATTTCCTAGGTAAATAAAATATTCTTTCTAAAAAACTATTTACTCGCTACTTCCAAAAGGTTTCTTTATTGAATCTAAAACAAATTATGTTAATTTTTGTATTTATTTAATGGATTCATTGATTAACTAAGAACAACGTTTGAACCCCAAAATTTAACCTTTGAGTGCGTCTATTAACACTTTTTTTTTTTTTTTTCGCACACACATTCTTAAACCACCTCTCATTTTACTTAATACATCCATCTTAAAATTTTAAAAAACCCATATAATTAAATCACCCCCAATTCTATTTTTTACACACAAATTTTTGTATTAAATAATATCAACTGATAGCTTAAATTTCTTTAAAAAATATTTCATATGTTTAAAATAATTTAAAAATGTTAAATGAAACTATTTGAGATGTGTGTTTCGAGAATCAAGTTGATCTCATCAAAAAATCCACCTCCAGTACTGCCTTACCCTTCAATATTAATATAAACAACACAATGAATTGTGAGATTTTAGATCGATTAGTAAACATTGATTTATTTTTTCTCGTAGAAAGCATTCGTTGAACAAGAGAAACAACAAACAAACGCACCAAAAAGAAAAGGGGGACGCAAAAAGAACGAGGCCTAATCTTATCAAACTCTGGTCTCATTTATTTTACCGATTTGAGTTTTTAATTTTAATTTTCTTACGGTTAAAAGCTTTTACAAAAAGTTACATTTAACTTTTTCTGCTATAGTAAAAAACTTTCACATAAAATCACATCTTAACTCAAATTAAAAACTTAAATTAATGAACTGAATGAGGCTTAATCTCATCACCCAATTTCACCTGACAAATAAGCAATTCCCTTACAATATCATCTATCAATTAATAGACATGAAAAAAAAAAGTTTATCCAGCAATTCAATTTGACGTGCAGAGTAACCAAACGAATGCATGACTCTATGCCTGTTAAGAACTCAGGGTAAATGTTTTTTTATTTTTTTTATTTTTTACATATTTTCTTTTCCTCTCTCTCATACACAAACTCAAAAAACTCAAATTGTAGTGCTTTAAAATGGAACACATAAGACTGGCTCTAACTAATTTATGAATTTGACCATTCTGGAAATTACTAATGTAGTTTAACTTTGAAAAAATAGGACATAATAATTTTTAAGAGGCAATTTTTTTTTTTAATGATGCGGTGTGTAATGAGTAAATTTTTTTTTATACTATTGTTTTTAAAGTTAATTTTATAAATGGGTAATTTAGGAGTATTAAAAAGGGGTGTTAATAAACACACATTTAAGATTTAACATTTTTTTCTTTTTCCAACTACATCACCCAAATGACTATTTTCCCCTTTTATCCTTTATGAATATATTTTTGGTCTCCGTGACAAAGACATATATGGATGCAAATAATTTATAAAATTCACTTAATATTTTTTATTTAAAAGTTGGTTCATTTGAAAATCCGGATTAAATCACTTACTCCTTGTCTTTAGGCATTAATTTTAGAAAATTCAGTTTATTATTTTAGTAAAAGAAAAGGCACATATTATAATATTTACCATCTTATAACTAAAAAATAAAAATTGTTTCTTGTCGGTGCATTTACATGTGAAAGCATATAACTTGTGTTTATAAGTCGGGTAGGACCGTGCTCATTGTAGGTCATGCTAGACACGAGCACAGTACGATCCTATTGGCATCCTTTTGTTTTAAAATTTTTCAAACAAAAAACAAAATATTTTTCTTTTTTTCCTTTCCTTTTTTTTTTCAATAAAATACGTGTAGTAAGTACTTTTATATGTTTTTTTTTTTTTTCTAAAAGAAAAAAAAAAACAAAAGATGTTTAATGACAACAATATCAAAACCAAGATTGAGGTTGAGATGGCGTAAAAGATGTTTAATGCTAGACACGATCCTATTGGTCATCCTTTTGTTTTAAAATTTTTCAAACAAAAAACAAATGGTGCGTTTAGAATTGGTTCCAAAATAATTTTATTTTCTGTAGAAAAATGAAAATAAAAACGTTTTTATTTTTATTTTGAAATTATTTCTGAAAATGCGTTTGGTAATTTTATTCAAAGATTGATTTCAGTTTTAAAAAAACTGAAACTGCGTTTGGTAGTTTAATTTTTAAAAACATGTATACTTTTTTTTTAAATGTGAAATGTCATTATATACTTCTATTTATTTAATTAAAATTTTAAAAATAATAATAAAAATATTTAAAACTTTTAAAAATTGAAAAAAAAAAACTTAAAACCAATAACCAAACACAAATCGCAAGTTTTTCTTCTCTGCTTCCGAGTTCTGCCTTTCCTTTCCTTCCATTTCCATAGCTCACAGCTCCACTTTGGCAAGAAACACAGAGCGAGAGCGACATGGAAGAAGAAGCCACGGCCATGGAAGTCGAGGAACATCCTCACTCCAATCCAAGCTCTTCCAATCGGGTCGGACTCAAAAACTCCATCCAAACAAGTTTCGGTGAAGACTACCAAAATTAAACAACTTCTTCCCCTTCATCAAAAACCCAAATCTACCAAAATTAAAATTAAAATCACATATCAAAACCAAACATTTCTAGTTATTCAATGAAACCAAACAAATTAATATCTCAAAATTAAATTCTGAGTTCAGGAGGTGCATCGCGCGGGTGGGATCAGTGGCTGCAGATCTGGGCTCGCCGGAGATGAGTCACGCGGGGGTGGGGCTCGTCAGGGCTGGGACTCGGTCATTTTTTTCCCCATCTAAAAGCAGAAAATTGCTCAAGAAAAGGAAAAAAAAAAAAAAAAGCTTTGGAGATTCGTCGCGATGGCGTGGAGAGAGAAGAGAGAGAAGAGGAAGAGGCGACATATAGAGAGAGAAACGAGGTTGAGGAGAGAGAGGGGGAGAGAGAATGAGATAGAGAGAGAAGAGGGCATCGGAGAAGAGAGTGAAGAATGAGGGAGAAAATGAAAATAGATTTCATCCGTTTTCAGTTTTTCAAAAAAGACAAAAATGTTTTTGTTTTTGTTTTTTGAAGACTTTTACACCAAACGCATTTTACATTTACGTTTTCATTTTTTAGTCTCGAAAAACGTGAAAAATAGAAATGAAAACAGAAACAAACAGGGTCAAAATATTTTTCTTTTTTTCCTTTCCTTTTTTTTTTAATAAAATACGTGTAGTAAGTACTTTTATATGTTTTTTTTTTTCTAAAAGAAAAAAAAAAACAAAAGATGTTTAGTGACAACAAAATCAAAATGAAGATTGAGGTTGAGATGACATAAAAGATGAGAGTAGGGACCATATCAATACCGTGATGAAGGTTCATCTCCATCCTTTATTTTTATTTATTTATTTTTTTTGTTAATAAGAAGATTTCATTAAAGCCAAAAGGCAGAAACAAAGACAACGGACAAACAAACGAGAGATGAGAAGGAAAGCACAGCTACCACCTAACCCATTCTACAACATTTGATAAAACAGAAGAAGGCAAACAAGAAATATCGACAATTCCAAAAACAAACGAAGCTAGACACGATTAAGCTAGATTATGCACAGCAAAATTACAAGATCTAGGAGTGCAACGAATAACGAGGTCCTGCGGGATGAGATCCTTCTTACGGATGTCCTCCACGATCAATTTTCCACGCCAGTTCGGGACTGGCCCCAAGAGAGCACCAGCCACCGCCTTACAACCCATTTCAATGACAATGAAGGACTGTTGACGGACCTTCGCTTAGACTAGGGCTTCCTGAAGAGTTAAGAATTCGAGTGTCTCTGCATCAGTCAGTTTGAATCTAGCTGAGCAGCACCAAAGAGTCTGCGAGCTACAATTTCGGGCAACAACTGATGTGACCACATCTTCAAGACCAAGCGCAACATCAATATTCAGCTTCACCCACCCTTGAGGAGGAGGTAACCAGCAAGTAGACTCAGCAACATCCACTTGGGGGGGCCAAAATGGCCGCTTGGGCATTTAAGAACGAAGAAGCAACATTGGCAGCCACACTGGCAGGGTTAGCAGAGCAACCAAATCTGGTCAAATAAGATACTAGCAAAGAGAAGGAATTAATCCTTATTAACACCTTCCCAAGCTATATCCACACTGATGTTAAAGAAAGCAGCCATATGAAATCCATCCGGATCCCTCAACCAGAAGAAAACCGCAAACTCTTGGCGAATTAGCAGTACAAGAAGAGGTGAGTGGCTGTCTAAGCCTGGAGTATGGATGGAGAGAATAGCCCTCGCGAACACTCTATATCAAAAGCTGCTTTAATAAGCTGCACATTCCAAGTCCCAAGGGAAAGAATCAAATCCTTCACCTCCCACAAAGTTGGAGCACAAGCACGTATTTGAGAATTAGGGTGGTGGCTAGGGAGATTAGGAACCCAAGCATCATCCCAGATACTAATGCCCTCCCTATTACCAACTCTCCGACACACCCCTAAGGATGACGTTGGAATTCGCCGAACAACCAAATCCTAATTCGATCTCTCCAATTCCAGAGAAAAATTTAAAGAACTGATTGTAGAGAGAAAGCAAAATAAGATATGTACTAAGAACTTAGGCCCCGTCCATTTTGCTGATTCGAGTTTAGAATTCGAGTTGAAATGTGACTTTATGTGAGAGCTTTTTACTATAGCAAAAAAGTTAGATGTGATTGTTTGTGAGAGCTTTTTACTGTAGAAAAACTCGAATTCTAAACTCGAATCAGCGAAGTGAACGGACCTTAGTATATGCTTAGCAGTTCTGCTTATAATAAAGTTTTTAAACAAAAAATTATAACTTGCATTTTGCGGTTATCAAAAAAATATACCTTATATTTTAGACTACATCACATTTATGCCTTCAGATTTTGAATTTATATTCGATTCATACATTTTTCTTGGTCAATAGTCAATTTCAATCACGAAAAAGACCTAAATATCCTTTAAAAAAATAAGAAAGAGAAAAAGTAAAAATTCAAAAGTGTGATGGAAATTCAGGTCAACTTTATAATCAAAATTCTTACCAAAGAAAGTTAACAATTTAGCATGACTTTTAACTTCGGTAAAGTTAATAATTTACCGAAAAAATATGAAGGTACAGTTCAAAATATAAAGTACAACTTTTGTAAACTCAAATACATGGTTAAAAAGGAATATATATATATATATATATATAATAAATGCCTTCCATAGTAAAAGAATATTCAAATAAACTATGCTATTCTTAACCATTTTTTTAATCATTTACTACAAATATATATATATATATAAAAGATAATATGACGAAGGGGATTATTACAAGTATTTAATCGTTAAATTTACTAATTTAGAGCGCTAGATTTTACGTTGTCGGGGTCCAATTTCGGCAAATAGCTCTTCGTCTCTCTCTCTCTCTCTCTCTCTCCAGTGAATAACACTCCCAACGCGAACACTCCACAGTCCACACTCTGTATCAGAATTTTTGAACCTCAAAAGTAAGTTCCTTTTCTTCCTCTCGCATTTTTCTTCAATCTTGAGACATAGCTTTGGTTTATCTCTTTCTTTACTTGCTTCATTGAGCAGCGTAATTGGAGACACATTTGAGCTCATAACGTGTTTGATGAAATGCCTAGCTTAGTATTCTGTTTTTTTCAATTTTACTGTTCATGTTATTTTTTCTTGACTGTCTATATTGCTTACTGTAGTTATTAAATTGTAAATTCTTCTTCAAATTTTTTCATTCTTCATGCCTCAGTCGTTCACCACAAGTCTTTTCCATGGTCACATACGAATGTATAAGTGATTGATTTTGCTTCTGAATTAGTATAACTCTGTAGTACTATTCTGTGTCTTCAAATTTAATGCAAATTTTATCTTTTAAGACTGATTTATTTTTTCTTAAAAAAAAAAAAAAAAAAACAGTTCTATTGCAGGTTTTCCTGTTCTTGTTCTGTCGCCAAGTTTCTAAATAAAGGGCCACTCTAACTGACTTCCTGTTGCTTTTGTAAACTCTATCTTAGTTGAATGGTTATATCAAAAGCCATCAACACTTTATTCTAAAGAATTATTCCTACCCAGATACTAAAATTAAAATGTCTTTTGTATTCCCTTTATCCTCTATAATTCCCTCTTCTTGTTTTAACCAATTCAAGGTTTGTCCTCTAAAGTCCTATCAAAGTTCTTCTCTAAATCCAGGCTTCCCCTTTATTCATGGAAAGAGTCCATTTTTTATGACTGAAAGCATACAAACTATTTTCAGAAAAAAAGTACCGAATGTATTAAGGTCTACTGCCCTAGATTGCACGAAACATGATTATGATCATTCCAATAGCGAAAATACGGTATCTTTGGACTTTGAAGATCAAGAAAAAGAAGAGGAAGACACGGGATGCCCATGGGAAGGGGCGGTTATTTACAAGAGAAACTCCTCAATATCACACATCGAATACTGCACAACCTTGGAGAGGCTTGGGTTAGGGAGTCTTTCAACCGAGTTATCAAAATCTAGGGCTTCTGCAATGGGGTTAAGGGTCACGAAAGCCGTGAAGGATTATCCATTCGGAACACCTGTTCAGGTCTCTGTCGATGTGATGAGGAAGAAGCAAAAGTTGAGGCTCGATGGGATCGTAAAAACGGTCATCACACTTGGATGCAATAGGTATTCTACTTGTTTTTTTTACTTTATGGGGTTGCAAAATTGTCTTCTAAGCAATAATTTTCGCAATTTATTTACTCATTGGTTCCTTATTTTATGCTTACCTTGACAATTGTACAAGAAAAATTTTCTGAGTATGAAACTTTTAAAAGGCGCTTGAACCCCTACAAACAAATAAAGGTATGTGTTATTTGAGATTCTATTCTATCCTGCATCTAGGAATTGTATTTTGGATTCTATTCTTTTCCACGTCAGTTTACTGAAAGAACATTATTCAATTGGTGATGTTCCAGGAGGTTGAAAAGCTAATCTTTCACTGCTTAGAATTGTATGCTTGATCATTACTTAATTTATGTTGATCTTGTTATTTTGTGTGATCTGATCATGGTAATGCTTTGTTGAAGCTGTGGTGGACCAGCTGCGCAAAGCATCTTCTCCGATTTCTCCTTGCTACTAACCGAGGAACCCGTTGAAGAACCTGATATTATTAACCTGGGAACGATCCACGGGGACAACAAGAGCAGACCTTATAGTGGTCTCGGTGACGATGGAGAGGAAGATGATGACGCCTCCATTGATTTTGAGGATCGGCTCTACTTTCCCCCTGGAGAAAAAGAAATAGACATTTCCAAGCACATAAGAGATTTGGTGCATTTGGAGATCAACATCAAGGCAATTTGTGATCCTAACTGCAAAGGTTTCTGCTTCAAATGTGGTGCAAATTTGAACACTAGCAGATGCACTTGCAGCAAACAGGAGGTGAAAAAGAGCTCTTATGGTCCTCTTGGGAATTTAAAGCAGCAAATGCAGGCAAGACAATGAAGTTTTTACATTACAATCGCCTCTTACTTTCGAAATGTAGTCAAAACAGTGGTAGTTATATAGAAAACAGTGAAAAGGGACAAAACGACGAGAAACCCGTTAATTTCTTTCCTTGTTGTTTGTACATCTGGGATCCTAACGGAAGTAATACCTAGCTCATTTACTGTTTAAGGTACAATGCTTAGGGAGTTAATTTCACAAAAGAAAAAAATCATTGTGTTATAGCTAAACATACTATTGGTAGCTTGGGTTTATGATAATATTAAACTAGTACTTTAATATTTTAGAAAATCTTTTTTTTTGAACCTAAGCTCCTTTTTTGAACATAAAATGACAAATTTACCCTTATTGATATTTTTTTATTTTGAATGATCCGAGTTTTCATTTAATATATGATAACAAAAACTGTTATGCCTGTAACCAAAATTACATTATTATCCATTTAATACATGTAAACGCCGATCAGTCAAATAAATTTGTCTACTTTACTTCCCAATAAAGGGTACAGAATACCAAAAAAAAGTTTTTTGAATGACATGATACATACTAGCGTGTGTGTATATATAGACAGTAAATTACACCATTGTACATTAAACTATTTGTTTTTTACATAATAGACTTTGAACTTTCAGTTTTTGTAAAATGCATCCTAAATTTTAAAATTAGTTACAATTAAGATATATGTGTATGTGTATATATGTGTGTGTTTGGATAAATTTTCAATAGTTATGTTTTCGTTGATAGTTACCAATTAATTATAGAAATTTAATGAGTCATGTTAAGAATTCAATCTTATTAATTGTCGTAATTTTTTTTTTTATCAATTATCTAATTTATTATAAACCTCTGATTAATATGTTATAACTAAAATAACGATAGTAATCATTGAATAGATATTAAAATATGTGTATCACGCTACGTTATTAAATTTTTATATTTAATAGTAATTACCGATAGAAACATAACCATTGAAAACAAGTCCGTACATATATAGCGCGCTAATAACACATAATAGTTTATGGTTCTGTAGCTACTTATCTCCATGTCTAATTTTGTCTAGTTGGAAGCGGAAAGGTTTGCTCTTGGTGGATTGTGTGTGTATTTTGCCGGAGAGTGACGCTACATTCATCTTCATACCAAATTTTTTTCCCAATTAATGTAACAAGTTGTCTTTCTTTTCTCCTATTTTTTAATAACTCGGTCATGATTTTGGTCCTATAGTCCAACTCAGAGCAAGAGTTAACAAAAATAGAGATTTTACCCTTAAGAGTGCGTGAGTTTAGACTTTTATCATTTATTCTTGATAAATATCATTTTATTAATGTAATTATTTGACTAAAAAGGTTATGAATCAAGAGTAAAGAGTAAAAATCCTTACTCATATACTTTTAAGAGGTATTTATCAAGATTGCCAAAAAAAAAAAACAAAAAGCGTAAAAATAATCTGACAAGATCAATCATAATAACAACCAAAAAAGCAACCCTCAATAGAAAAATTCATCACGTATGTACGGCTTCATACGATTAATTATTAGATCTAATTAAAATAAAATCAAATTAAAAGAGTACACAGAAGTTATGATTTTTAATAAACGATTAAAATAAAAAATACCATTAATTCATTTTTTTCAAGGTCTACGATATAAATTTCCAATTCTTTTACTAAAAATGCACCTAAAAAATGGATGTATCTTGTCTGCCATTTTACAAGTTGATCTTGAATTCATTTCTTAGAACAATTTTTTTATATCAACTAAAAAAGAACCACTTATTAAGTTGTGTTACAAGAAAAAAAAAAAGAAAAAAAAAAGACCAAGTTATTTTTTCAAGACCCACTGTAGAAATTTTCAACTAGTGGATGTGTCTTGCTGGCTAATTTTTACGGGGTCAGATCTAGGGTTTATTTAGTTGGAGGATTCAAACCATGTGATTCGAAATATTTTCGATTTACGTGTATTTTTTGTGAGAGAAAATACTGTAGCGAACCACGAATCATGATTCAAATCAGGGAACGAATCCCTCTACCAAATGCCCCCCTAATATCTCTGTCTCATTAGCTCTCTCCACTATTTATTTGCCAAGTCATTTAATTTAATAATCTTATCACATGAGTATGAACTAAATAATAAAACTACTTAAGTAATTCACAATATGTTAAAATTTGATTGAAGAGATGACCGCGGAGATAAAAATAAAAATAAAACAACAAATCTTAATTCACTTTTACGTTATCTTAAAAATTTATTTCTTAAAAATAATATTTTTATTTTTTTATTAACTGAAAACAATAGTTTATTAAACTGCAAGAAAGATAGGGCTTGTTCTTTTGGAGTTTACCTTGAGTATAATTCTTGAGTTGAATTTGAGTTATAATTTGAGTTGAACTTGTAACTTGAGTTTGTGTTTGGTTGTGTACATTTGAGTTATGGTTTGAGATAAGAATCTTTTTGAGTTTGTGTTTGAGTGAGTCAAAACTTAAATTTGTATTTAGATAGTATTTAAATAAAAACTCAATGCTGATGAAAAATTTTAATAGGGTATATGGGTCGGGTTTTATTCGTCTTTTCGTTGTCAACGCATAGAAAAAAAATCAACTCAATCAGAATTAAAACGAAAAAGTTATAGCATTTTTAAGAATAGAAAAAATATTATTCATTAATTTGAGTTCGAGTTTCTGAACTCGAGTTGAATGGGACACTTGAACTCGAGTTTTAGTCCTAAACTCGAGTTTGAACTCAAGTTTAAACTCGAGTTTAAACTTAAAAGAACATGAATTCAAATAAAATTGTAACTCGAGTTGCTTTTTTTTTTAGTTTTTCACTCAAAAGAACAAGCCCATAATCACCCTAAATTTAATAAAAATCAATGACGCGCCCAAGAAGCAACATCGTTAATTGAAAATTGTAATCAAATAAAAGAAAAGGATAATGAAGTATATTTATTTTGTTTATTTTTAAGGGAGCAAAGAATGTATATTTACGAGTAATGAAAAAAAAAAAAAAAAAAAGAGAAAATTACATGAGTAACCACTGAGATAGAGAGAATTTGTAACAAAGAAAAAAGTCTAGATTTTTGTTGAGTAAAAAAAGTATTAAATAAACTACAAGATACGAAAAATAACCTGTAAGATAGGAAAGATAATACACGGGTTAGAAAAAGATAATATGTGAGTTATTAGTGGCATAAGAATTTAATAACAGTGACGAAAATAAAATAGTGTTACATGACATTTTTAGTTTTCTCAATAAAATAAAAAAAGAAAGTGCGTGTAATGTATTTTATTTAGGGATAAAATCATTTTGGTACCATGTGTTATAGCAAAACTTGCTCTTGGTATCTTGTGCTTTTGATAATATTAAAGCGGTACCTCGACGTTTTTAAAAACATCTTCTTAATACCTTAAAGCTAACTTTTAAGAGGTAAAATAACCTTATTACTATTCTATTTAATTAATCAAAATCTAATAGATCTAGAAAAAAAATCATGAATGTTTTTATTTTATTATTTTCTTTTAAATATTTTAATGTCTTATAATATTTTCATATTTTTTTGAAGAAATGTTAATTTTTATTTAATTAATAAGAATGATATTTTTAACATTATATGTTCTAAAAATTAATTTCAAAACATTAAAAAAATATTTTTAAAAACATTAAAATATTATTTTAATATTATTAAAAATATAAAATATTAAGAATATATTTCACTATAATTTATGTTTCGTTATAACAGATGTTACTCACGACGGAGTGGGTCTCAATGGAAGAAATTTCTGTGTGCCTGACATATAGCCCGGCCCAAATATGAGCCCACTTTCTTTGTCTCCTCTTCCTTCTCATCACTTCTCAGGAGGATATCTCAATTCTACTATTGCAGTGCAAAACCCTAAAAACTGTAATTCAATTAGCTTCCTCTTCTTGATTTGTGCAACTTTGCATTTTGATCACACAGACCTTACTCAATTCAAGATTATTTAACACTTCTTGTTGCCATAAATCAGCAAGGTAAGTTGGTTATTTGTTTGGTTCCCGGGAAAACTTGGGAAAGTAATTGGGAATATCTCATGTGATGTGTTCTTGTACATATATTTTGATATATAGATCGATTAATTGTGGATAAGTATGCTTATTTTATCACCAAGTCTTTAGCTTTTCCCTCTCAAATTCTAGCCCTTAAATCACACTGATATTCGAATGAAAATGGAATCTCGCGTTCAATTCAACTTCGTTATTATTGTGGAATTCTGCTTCGTTTTGTCTCGTTGCAAATTGGTGGAGTTGTATTTTTGAACTCCAAATTTGAAGTGAATTCTATGGAGATTCGGTTGTAAACTCTATTTGGATTGATACTTTTCGGTTCTCACAAGAATATATATATATATATATATATTTATTTATTTATTTTGGCCTGAGATTTGTGATCTTGAAGCTGCAATTTAGGTTCTGCCTCCCATGTTGTGTGGAAATGACAACCATTGAGCCAGCAACAGCTCAGCCCCAGAGAAAATCTGCTGGTATTGCTTCAACCAGCGCTGGGATTCAGGGTTCGGCTCCTTCGTTTAAACGATGGGGTAGAAAGCATCCGTTTGTCCGATACGGGCTTCCGATGATCTCGCTCACCGTGTTTGGGGCTGTTGGTCTTGCTCATCTCATACAAGGCGGGTTAGTACTTGGTGTTAGTTTCATTCTTAGTTTGTAATTTTTATAGAGTTATTGTCATTTTCTTTGTACTGATGAGGTTACAAGTATTATTGTTTCATTCTTTGCGCATTACTAGAGTTTTCAACCAATCACAGATTCACATGCAAGCTTTGTCTCCTCAGACAATTATTTAGCGACCACATAGTTTTATAATGACAATCTTTGATTGGTTAAAACCCCACATTTTTCATAGTTTTAAGATTGTCTATAGCGCGGTACGCATATTGAAGTGGTGGGATTTTGTAGTTCAGGAAGGATATTGCAAAGGTGAAAGATGATCAGGAATGGGAGATACTTGAGACCAAGAAAGCGTTATCAAGAACAGGACCTATAGAAGCCTATAAGCCAAAAAAGATTTCGCTGGAAGAAGAGCTCAAGGTATAATTCTCGTTGCTTGTATATTGCAAATATTAATATTCTGAGAATTTTAGCGCTCACTTGCCTATCTCCACAGGCTTTGCAGGAGAAGGTGGACATAAACAACTATGAGTATAAGAAAATTCCTAAGCCAAATGAAGGTAAGTAAGGCTGGTTTTGCACTCTGCATTTGAAGCTTCAATCACTAGAAATATTCTAGGTGTCTGTTTTTTGACCTTTTAGTTTTGTAACGACTCCTCGGACCTGAGCTGTGTTGGCGGAAAAAACACGTGCATTTTGTCTTTACAATTGTACTATGAGTTAGTTACTTAATGTAGCTACTGATTTACCATGTGATCTCAAAGATTCTCACCTTAGTCAAAAGTAAATTTTTGCCAATTGCTGAACGGTTGCTCTAAATAGAATAGTTTCTTACCGAGTCAGTTTGATGAATTGAGAATTATGTGACATACACATTCCGAAAGGTGCTACAACCTCAGTGCATAGTTATGTTACAAATTAGCAGCGTTTACCTTGAGACCAATAAGCTCAGTGCCTTGATCGGTAAAAATTCAATCATGGTGGTTTGTGCTTTGCAAAATAAGCTCGGTATTTTCATCTTCGAATTGGGATTTAGCAGGAGGGAGAAAGACCACTGATACTGTTATAATGGAGGTTTTGTTTATCCTGTTTGGTTTCAGAGGAAACCCAAATAGAGGGACAAAAAATCTTTGAACATGCAAGTAATTACTCTGAAATGTCAAACGACACGTTCGTTTGTTAATGTCTGTTCCTGGATCAGAGAACAACGAAATATCTTTGGATTGTCGTTTTAACCAAATGGAAGACATGACAGATTATGGATATTTAAATTTCCGATGCACACAACAGTGAAACATGGCTCTAACAATCAATCTAATCCGTCTAGAAATTGGGACTATTTTATCCTTATTGTGCCATATCCCCAAGTATTATGGCAGGCAGGGAAGACATCCTTAATAATTTTCAATGTTATTGTCACTAAGCCGATAATGCTGCTTTAGATTATAGAAAAAGAAAAAGGCATTCCTAGAGGTTTTTGGCGCTGACAATTCCTCAACTATTAACATTAAAACAATTTGGTCTCTAAATTATTATTTTTGACCAATTTATGTTTGAACTTTTTTTTTTTTTTCAGCAGTTGGGACCCTAATGCCAAACACCCTTTTTATGTTTTTCCCTGAAGACAACCCAACTATATGACTATAGGCAACCGTTGAATCATCTCAATGGGGCAATTGTCCCACCACCACCGCCTGCAACAACTAAAAAGAGCATTTCTATTATGAATTATGGTGCACGGGTGGCACTTGACCTTTTTTCTTTGGTTGCAGGGTAGTACTTGACTTTTTAAAGCCTTTTTTTTTCCTTTGCTTTTATCAATTTTACCCTCTTGAAGATATCATTTGTCAGAAGAGAGAGAGAAAGAGAGCAAGTCAAATCAATATGAACTCAACTAGCAAAGCTTTGTTAAAAGAATTAAGAGCAGGTAGATTATACATTCAGGTGATGAATTCAACCCAACCATTCTCACAGAATACCGAACTTTTATACCCATTTTCCCATTCCCATTGAGAAAAACCCATTTCTCTTTATGTACACCACCCCCAACACAATTAAAGGAAAACAAAAATACTTATGTAATAAACATCCAAAAAAGTGTTTCCTTTTCTTCATTTTTTTACTTCCCAAAATATATCCCATGCCATTGACCATTCCCCCACTCTTTATTCATTTACACGTTACAAGGCAAGAGGACCAAAATGAAATCCCAAGAAACCTCCTCCAACATCTCTTCAAAATAGACCAACAAAAATGAAAAGCCACCAGAAAAAAAGCTATTGACTGCTTTTGTAATGGCCCCATATTACCTGGGCTTAGGTTGTGATCCCAGAGACAATAATGGTTGAACAAGCCTCTGAGCTGACGGGCTGCCCAGCAACATAGCCTGAGACCGAGTGAGCATCTCAACCATTGATGGGGTCTGGTACGCCTGAACAAGGCTCGAACCATCTGTGGAGTCGCCTCTGGCGGTTGCCCTTTGCCAGGAATGCGAGCTCAACCCCGAGAGGATATAAGCTCTCCCAGATGCCTCGTAAACATGCCTGCTTGCCATCCTCTCTTGCATTTCCTTGAGCTCAGCGTCCAACGCCACACACAGCCTGTCACGGGATTTTGCTGAGACCGTCTCCAACAACAATTTCCGACAGTTTTCAAGTATAGAGACTGCACCGGCCAGATCTCCTTGCTCAGCAACAGCTCGTGCTTGCGCCATTGCCTCCGCTGCTTGCAGCCTGTTGCGTTGCCTGTCTACTTCTATCGACACCACTGCTTGTCCTGCTATTTCAGGTCTCTCAATCCTAACTTCCTCGCTTTCCAGTGTCACCGTTTCTTTCGTTATCGGATCCTTGTACGTGCATTTCACTTTCACCAATGATGTTTTATTGCCACTCTCTGTTGGGACATGAACTGAGACCAGAAAATCCCTCTCTTCATCGGCATACAAGTCCCCAACATCAACGAATCCCATCCGTCCATCAGCCACCACTCGACTTGGGTAGCTCCCCGCTTTTAGCGATCGAACCCGAACATTCTGGTTTGAACACTCAACAGCTACTTGCAGCTCCTGGACCACAACACTCAACAGCCCTCCAATACACTGGGCAAACGCATCCTGGATCACAGCTTCAGTCTCTATGAATGAAAAAGTCCCGCCTGATGTCTCAGAAATTGAGTGCATTGAAGAGGCATCGTGGTCTGCACCGAATCCAAAAGCATGGACGGGAATCTGGAACCCTGCATTGTCACCACCGTGGATGGACAAGGGGAGCAGCAGCTGGTAATTTGGTTGAGGCTGGTTGGCTCCTGAGCCATTGACAGTGTAAGTGTCCTGTCCATCGGACAACAATATTATGCTAGACACCGGATTTTTCCCCCTTCGATCTTCCATTACCTTGGCACCCTTTCTCAGGCCTTCGGCAATGTTGGTCCCACCATTTGCAACCAAAGAGTTGACTGCTTGCAGTGCCTGCTGCCGCCCTGCATCAGTCATTCGACGGAGAGGGAAGAGGCGACGTGCTGTTGAAGAGAAGGCGATGACTGAAAGCCTGTCGTTGGAGCCAAGATTCTGTATCACAAACCCCATTGCCCTTTTGAGCAATGCCAACTTTGTACCTGCCATGCTACCACTGATGTCCAGTACAGTGACAAGGTCGACAGGAGCACGAGGAGTTTGACAGAGCTGTTGCAGGCTGGCATGATGTCTGCTGAGATTTTGTCTCTTGATTGTTGCAGCTGCTTTTAAATGGACTAGAACGGTAAAATCATCATAAGATTTGGAACGGGGAGCAGCTGAGACTTCTGGGTATGTTTTGATCTCTAATGTTCTGGAGGGAATGTTATCTGCAGCATCTTTATTGAAGGTGTTTCTCTCGAAGAAGGCAGCTTGGTCGCCCAAAGATTCGTCATCATCAAATATGCCTGGCTCTGGAGCCTGGTATAGAGGAACAACGTGCCGTCGAGGGGAAGGTAATCTGCGGACCAGAGTCATCACTGCATCATTTTGGGGCCAACCTACTGGACTAATGGACGCCCTCCCGGGAGGAGGATCCAGAGTTGGACCTTGTACAGGAATCTCTTTCCATTTTGCTCTACAAACCGGGCAAATCTGGTTGCCATGTTTTACGTTCGAGGTGATGCAGTGGAAATGGAAAGAATGCGAACATTCTGCGGTGAAAATTGCATGGCCGCCTCCTTGTTTCATTTTGGTTAAGCATATGGAGCATGTCTGCTGAAAATGGCACGAGCAAGGACATCATTATCAGATGTAAGCACATTTATGTACACACATCTATACATATGCCAATGTGGATGGTTTGTGCGATAATGGAAACCTAAGTATCTATTAACAACCACTAATCTTCAAAGTGAATCTCATCTTATATTCCAAATTGACAATTGTTTAGTAATATCTTTACTAAACAGCCTCTTCTAATTAAGAAGAGATGCTCATATCAAAGGTCACGTATGAAATATGACTCAGCATAGCACTTGAAAAGCTACATGGTGTCATAATGATACAGCCAATTTTCTTACCTTAAATATACAAACAAAACAAAAGAAAGACATAAAGAAGCGGATTGAATAGGATGGTCAACCCACCGGCAACTTGTAACTGGAGGGGACCATCAAAGTGACAATAAACCAAAGGGAAAGTATTTTTTCACATATTTGAAGCCCAAATAATAAATTCTTCAAGTCTTAGTGGTTGTGCACGCACATTGCTATGAAAAAGATGAGCTTTCCTATTGGGTAGGCCAAAAAGTACAATTATCAAATACCGACAAAAATTCAAAGTGTTTCTAGATCTAGTTAGTAAGCTCAAAAAAAAAAAAAAAGGTCAATGTTAGGTACCCAACAAATAGAGGGCATAATGGGAAACAAGAAGTACTAAAATCAAAAATTAAAAAGGAAAGAAAAACACTTAGCTTTTGCCAGATGATCATGGAGCAGTAAAATAACAATGATAAAAATAATAAATAATAATATCACATTAATAATAAAAATAGATAATAATAAAAGAAAATAAGGTTAAAAAAGGTAATGAAGATGCAATACAATGATACAAACGGTGCATAGCTTTTGAAAAAACTAGAAAAATGCATCCACCAAGAAAAGGAAATCATAAGGTCCTCTTTATGTGGTTACTTTCCCTTTCTTTTTACTTCTTTGATGAAATTCAATGGCAGAACACTAGCAGAAGCAGATTATCAGTCAGACAGATGAGGCCAGCAAATGACCAAACGGAGATGACTTTCCTTTTTTATTTTTTCCCTCCAAGGGAAA